CCGCATGGCTTTTGACCCGGTTTCTATAAAACATATATTCATTACCTGAAATTTGTAACTATAATAATATAGAAAATTATAAATTCAAATAATTTAGAATAAACAAAAGTATTAGTAACAATCAAAATAAGTGATAGAAATTTAATGTAGAAATTATAAATTCAAAGAAGTGATAAAAACTTAACAATTCATAAGTTATAGTATTATAATAAGTCACAAAAATCCATACTCAACGATCCATAATTTTTTATGTCCATGAAGTCAAATTGTCATAATCTTGATATTCATATCCATCTTCAACTTCATTGTCTTCTCCACCAACTTCATCTTCTTTGGTGTTGCTTTTTTCTTGATTCACAGTATCAACAATAGTATCTTATGCATTACTCATATCTCCATCTTCATCCTCATCTAAATCTATTTGATCTATAACAATATTTTTAAAAATAATTAACAAAAAAAAACTAGAGATGGTAAATATGAGACATTAAATTGATTCACAACCACAAACTATATTATGCTCATATTAGAACATACCAATATCACTTGAAATTGGTTGGATGGTCATATTTTCAAGTTCATTACGCAATGCTTCCAACTCTTCATTGGTTAAGAGAGGTGGTGAATCCTCTAATACCCAACTAGAATGGTCGGAAATTGTTTCAATATTGATAGGATCATAACTCCCATTTCTTATTTTCTTAAGCACACATGAATTAAATCTAAGTATATGTATTTAAATATAAAAATATAATGATCAGAGAAAAATAACCATAATAATACCTATTTTGAAGTCTCAAGTTGTAACGAACAAACACTAAATCATTAAGCTTTTGGTGCTTCAATCTATTTCTTTTTTTGGAATGAATATGCTCAAATATACTCCAATTGCGTTCACAACCCGAAGCACTACAAGTTTGGCTTAAAATACGAATAGCTAACCTTTGCAAAGTTGGTGTACAAGTGCCATAAGTTTCCCACCATTGATCTGTTTATACCATGTGATTAAATAAATTTATAAACATATTGAAATATAAAAAAATATATATCAAGAGTTAGAAGTTATGAAATTATCTGCCCTCACAATACATCGTTCATCCACGGCTGATTTCCTTCCAAAATCTAATTCACCGTCTTTGAATATTCTCATCTCATCTGTTAACTTCAATCGAAGTTCAGAATTTCCATTAGCATGCTTTTCAATGACATATAAAAGTCATGATGTTGTGGATGCATGTTTTTCAAATTCTACATCATTATATCTACAAGCTGGATTCAACCAATAACCGACATCATGAAGATTTTTGCGGAGCTGTGAATCCCAACGTTTATCTAAGATTTTCAAGTAAGGATCCACTTTCTTCTTATTTCTTTGAAACCGCCTCACCATCTCCTCTCTAGCTTTGACTATAGATTTGTATAGAATGTCCATAGCAGGTTTATCTTCACTATCAACAATACGCAACACATGCACAAGTGGTTCAGTGAATTTAACTACATCAGCACATTTACTCCAAAATCCAGAATCTAAAACTTGATCCACAAACTGTTTTGCCTTTGCTTCTTTGGCATATGCTGAGCTTGTCCATTCTTTAGATGTTATCATGGCTCTTAGTGAGTTTTTGTGAGACAAAATACTTTGCAAAGCAATGAAATTAGTGGCAAACCGAGTTGGAGCAGGATGAAGGATTTCTCTTCCACCTGTTTGCTTTCTCATTAAATACAATGCATAACAATGGTTATAAATATATTTGGTAATATTAGAAGCATGTGACACTGTCTCACTTACTTCCTCTAATTTTCTCATGTCTTGCAACATCAAGTTAATGCAATGTGACGCACAAGGAGACCAAAATAAAATAGGAAACTCATTTTCTAATAACCTTTCAACAGCAATATAATTTGCAGCATTATCTGTCACTATGTGAACTACATTTTCAGGCCCAACAAATAAAACCACCTCTCTAAAAAGCTTATACAACATATCTGCAGTTTTTGAAGCATGAGAAGCATCAACGGATTTTAGAAAAATAGTACCTTTGGGACAATAAACTAAAAAGTTTATAAGAGTTCTTCTTTTTCGATCAGTCCATCCATCGGCCATTAGAGTACAACCAGTTTTCTTCCAAATCTCATGATACTCCTCTATCAATTTGTTCACATCTTCAACCCATTTATTTAACAAATAGCCACGAAGACTATGCATAGTTGGAACTTTATACCCCAGACTCATACTGCAAAGTGCATCAGCCATAGATTGAAAATACACAAAATTAGCTGCATTGAATGGCACAGAAGAATCAATGAATCATCTTGCAATAGCTAGATCACACTTCTCCACCAATTCCTTACTTTGTAACACACTTTTTAAAGAAGGTTGAGCTCCAGGAGTTGTTCTAGGCATAAAATAATTACCAATATGACTAGTATTCTTTCTCTTTAGAGACACAATCACCGAATTTGATCTTGATTGTTCTACATCCATTTCTACTACACCACCCTCTTGAGTAGTAAGATCAACATCAAAATCTTGTGCTTGAGTCTTTCTTCTCTTATTTGCACCTTCATCGAGATTTTGTTTCATTTGATATTGAACATCTGGAGGCACTTTTTTACATGTTTCAACTTGACCTTTTATTCCAGCCAAATGGAATTTGAACCTATTAATCCCCCCTCCTCTAATAATTTTATCACAGTAAATACACAAATTAACAAATTTTCCTTTCTCTTCAATTTGTTTACAATGATCCCAAGCTATATCAGTTTTTCCCCTACTGCTCTGGAGTTGCGTTGGATTTTGAGATGTAACTTCTTTCGAAGTTATTACTTCAGCGGGTGATGCCATATCTAATATCAATCAAAATTTAAAAATACAAAACTATATTACAAAAATATTAACAAAACACAATTCTAAACAAAAATTATTGAATTTATAAAAACATTATAAGAAACATTAAATATGTAGCATATCTAAATCCAAAATATATGAATATGTTGTTGTATATTACATATAGGCTACCAAGCATCGTTACTGTGCATCACCATATATAATAAAAAAATAGAAACTTTGCTTTCCAGCCTTTGCTATATATTTTAGATTAATAAAATCCTGAAACTTTTCTTTGTTATATAATTTAAATTAATAAAAAACAGAAAACTTTGTCTTACTATATAATTTAGATTACATAGTTTTAAACCCAATTTCTATCTCCATAATATATACAACAACTATTACAGTAATATATATCTATTCCAATTTCTATTTCCAATATACAACAACTTCATTACCAGTCTATAATAAGTTAATTCATAAAAGTATAAAATTGCTTCATTCATACAAATTCTATCTCAATTTGTTAAACTAAAAGACCCAATTTTATAGAAAATGATCAAATTCAATCATTTATTTTCTATATCAATTAATCAACAAAATGAAACAATAATATTCATATTGAAAAACATCAATGCAAATTAGACCAAGTAAAAAAGAAATAACATGTTTTTAATGAAATTTTTGACGGCATACAAGGAATATCAAATAACAGCAGCAAGTGAGAGTTTTTGTTGGTAGAGAAAATTGAGAATATGACTTCAATTAGAAAAAGAAAAGACAAAATAAAAAAGAAAATATTTCAAATGCCTAGGTTTGGGAAACGAGGAGGCAAAACGTTTATGTTAATTTTTTTTCAAAAGTCCTAAAAAATAAAATAAATAGTCAAACCTGCCGGTTCAGTAAAAACCGCCGGTTCACTGGTTTAACCGGTGATCCGACCGGTTCACACCGGTTTCATCCAGTCTAAATATAATTCCGGTATTATCCTTTAATCGGACCGCCTGACCCACCGGTTCTCAGTCCGACCGATCTGACCGACCGGGTCGGACTGAGTTTTAAAACACTGAGAATAAATACGATAGTTGATAAATAGACACAAAAAATTTGACTCCTTAAAAAATATATCAATTAAATTGAAACTTTCATATTAACTTTTAAAATGTCATCATACAATATAAATTCAAAAGCATATAAAGAACACAATTAAATTATTTTTTGAAAATTAGTTTATAACTGTGGCAAGTTGGTTTCAATTTATAGTTGTTCTTTGTAACGATTTATTTGTTATATCATAACATCTTTCCTAAATTAATAGTTTTTTAAAGCTAATTAGGGTCAAAACTCAGAGCTGAAATAACGGATGTAGTCATTCAAGTTAGGTATTCTACTAATCATAATCTCAAATCTTCACACTTTGTATTTATTATTAATGAAATCATATTTTATAGGCATAATTTTTTAACAGAAAATAAAATAATAAAGTTAATGATTTGATTTGTAAAAATCAAAATTGAAAATATTATAATCATGCATACTTAGTGAAACTTGGTGATTTAAATTTATTGATATGATAATATGTGTAACAATATTAAATTAATTGAAAAGAGAGTAAATTAAAGGTAATATTTAAATTTTAATTGACTTTAATATAGAATAAAATATGAACAGTTTTTTTAAACAAAATAAATCATTTTTGAAAATAGAAAAAAAGAAAATATATGATAATAATGATATACATTATTTATTAAAATATTTATGTATAGAAAGTAAAAATCTGTTTTAATAATAAAAAAGTAAAACAAAATTATTTACTTAAACCGAACTTATTTATACACAAATTTTTATATGATTTTTTTTTCACCTTCATGTTCAATCTAACACTGACGGTTTTAAAAAAAAAGAAACATATCCTCAGTCTCTGTCCCGCCGCGCATCCTCGTTCATCTTTGTCTCGCCGCCATTGGACACTTGGTAATTGTAAGTTTAATCTCTCTGTTCTTCTTCATCCCTCAATTACCATTCCAAAATCGATTTTCTCAAATTCGTTCTACCGTCTGTAAAATTGATTTTGCTTTCGAGGTTGCCGCCGAAGGTGATTCATAAAGAACATGATTAGTTATTCACTGTCTTGTCTCCCCTTTTATTTTTGTTATGAAGGTAAGCATCCATGGCTTCTGATTCAAGAAAACGTTCATTGGAGGCTTTGGAGAGAAGAATTAAAACCGAACATATATTAGAAGAAAACAAAAACCAAAAGGCCAAAATTCAACATGTCAAATCAAATAACAAAAAGCCTAAAATTCAACATGTTAAATCACCTATTCTTGCACCTTCTACTCCTAATGATTCATCTCGTCCATCATCACATCCACCCCACAAAGGTAATTCAACTTTCTTTTGTTTATGTGTTTTTTACTTCTTAATAGTTTGGTATAAAGTAGAGTGAGTTAGTTGAAAACAAGACAACTTATGTTATAAAAATAGTTTGTAGACATATCATAAACTATGTTTGTAAGTTCTTCCAAACCGTCAAGTAAAGTGTTGTTGTCATAAGATGATAATACTCAAATGTATTTTTTTTGGGCTAAAGTGTAAGTTTTTTATTCATAGTTTTACTGTAAACTGATAGTTTTTTGTTTTCCTTTTTAGCGAATTTCAGTCTTTTTGGTCGTGGCATTTCGCAAGGTAATGTACTTTCTATGTAACACTAAGATTCTTTCTTCTTTTGTTTCTTCATCTGGATGTTTTAAGATTTTGAGTGGATAATTGACTTAACTATTGATATGCAGACAAAGAAGATGGCCCGGAATATGCCCAACTTTCTGTGACTGTAGATGAAAATCTGCTCACAACTAATGCTGGGGTATTTTATTTTCAGCATTTCATGATCAACTTCTCTTTTATAATTCCATAAAGTCAACCTCCTTTGGAGTTAGAACTCTAAATAATTGATGGAATGAGTAATCTATTGATCTCAAGAGTAACCCTTTAACCTATTTATGAACCTTGAACTTGAAAAGCTGCAATCAAGGTTATGTCAGTGTAATGGTCTTAGCTCCCAATATAGCCAAAATGTTATAGTTTCTTTATATTCAATTTGAAAGATCTATATGTTACCAAACTTAATAAATAGTTGAATTTCTTTATCCTTTGATGTCAAAGATTATATTTTTCTTGTTTGTTCTAATTTGACTTATATTCTGCAGTCTTCTTTGAAAAGAGAATGTTCGGTTTCAGGAATATTGCATGAACTTCTTAAGAAGGGAGATGCAGCCCAAAAGTATATGCAAGGATCTAGAAGTATGAAAATCGACAACTGGATTCTTCTTGATAACTATGTACAAGGACGCGCACTTTCTTCATCTTCTCAAACTAGAGCTTTGCAAATTCATTCAAAACGTTCTAAGAAGCACTTGTCCATGAAACAACATAAAAAAAACGGATCATTCGATCTTCCTCAAGAGTTCCATAAGTAAGTTTAAAGTCTCTAAACTTCTATTCTTGATGTGTCTGCTGATCCTTATCATTACTGCTATAGCTCTGAAGTTTGTGGTAGTGTATTTTTTGTGAGTAATTTTCACTTCTTCTTTCATTGTGGAGCTCTTAGATTCAAGCTATGAACAAGTAATAAAGTATTATACATTTTTCTTTTGGTAGTGTATTCTTTTTATTCCCTAATCACCATTCATTTTGATTACAGATTTGATATTTTCAAGCCAATGCATGAAATGTGGAAAGACTATATAATGCAGTTGCATAAATCCACTGGGTATTGTTTTTGTATCTTTGCTCTTGATGAATTTCACAGCTTCTTATCTTGAGCTTTTCTACCACTTTTCTTCTCTCATGGCTTTTATGACAACAAACCTGTTTAATGTTTCAGGAAAAATCAACTGGCTCAATGTCTCCTTGGTGCAGATCTACACGGTGCTATTATTTTAGGTTCGAGCATACTCTTTTTCTTTTATATTGCATTTGTGCTGTTTTAGTTTAATGTCATCTTGTTGAAAGTTTTCATCCATACTCTTTGTTTACGACTCAACATGCATTGTTTGTTCAATTTAGAAAATGAGCCGGGCTCTTGAAGATTGCTGCAAAACAAATATGAATAATTTTTGCTTCTGCCTCCTATTATTTGGCTGCTGGTTATCACTGACTGCGCTATGTCCGTTTATGTTTTGCAGTTGTGGAGTGTAAGCTAACCCATTTTACCGGAACGGGTGGCATTATGATTCGTGAAACCGCAGAAGCTTTTGGGATAATTACTGAAAATAATAAATTCCGAGGTAATCCTTTATCTATGTATTTAAAAGTAGAATCTGTTCTAGCATTATTAGAGTTGTTCTTCCTGTATATCTCAAGTATTAATGCTTATATGAATCTAAACAGTTGTTTGTGTTTGCTTTTCTTAAATGTTATTGATTTCTATACGAATGTGATAATTAATGAATTATTAAGAGTTAGCACTTCCATTTTGAAAGTTTAGCATAACTTGAACTTTTGTTAGATTAAAGAGACTATAAACAAACAGTCAGTTTGTTCAGTTATTTTTAAAATTGAATTTGTTGTGAACAAATAAAAATACAACTTATAAATTTGAAAATTTTCTGTTTTGATGACAAACTGATATGATATTTGTTCTTATGAAATGCAATTTGGCTGAGATTCTTGTTCGGCATTGTTAGATTATCCCTTTAGGTTAAATATCTTTTGTATTCTATAGAAACCAGATTTGCTACATATAATAGATTTTGTAAAATCTGAATTTGTTTTAGTGATTAATCTCATACCTGTTTCTAATTTACATTTCCATTATGAGTTGTAGCTTTTTATGCAGTAGAATGCTCCAAAGTGTTAGTTTAGATCAAAAACTCATTTTCTCTTTCAATAGTCAATTAAAATTCTCGGGGTGTATTTGAGTGAAATTCTGTTTGAAGACAAATTTCCTTTTTTACTAAACAAATAAATAAATAGATTTCAACTTTCTTGTACTGAGAGTTGTTAATAAGTTTGTCTGTGACTGCTACAATATTGTGGATGAGTTGATTAAGAGTTAGGAGAACCTTCAACATCACAAATTAGATGAGGCTTTGATGATTTATTTGTTATGGTATTGCTCTTTGTTCTATAATGTGTCCATTTCAAACTTGTGTTGACCAAATATTTTGATTTGTTAATTGCAGTTGTTCCTAAGAAGGGTTCTGTCTTTAGACTCCAAGTTGATTGCTGGAAAGTCACACTGCATGGAGATAAACTTGATTCAAGAAAAGTTGGATTATGATATTAGTGATAATACGTCCTTCAGTTGTAGGTGGCATCTTCGCCTCACCCGAGGCATTCGTTTCTTTATTATTAAGAACTTTATGATGATTATCTTACAATTATACTGAGCAGAATATTTATGTAAAACAATTTTTATCATTGTATTTATTTTTAAAATGGAGATGCTCTGACAAATTCTTAATCCATTAACATAATGACTAATCATAGTTGTGCGTGCGGCCACTATCCACACGGCATAGTGGTAATAGTGGTAATTACTGGTATCTAATTTGTAAAATCATGACATTTAAATAAGCACTTGAAATTATGAATATTTCAGAAAATATGGTCGACCCTGTTAAATTGTCAATTGGCCTATATATTTATTGATTACCATCAATTTAGTCATTAACATTATTGTTGTTTATTGAGTTTTGTTTGACTACAAGAAGAGCCAATACATTTAACCGACTATCATCAATTTAATCATTAACAACATTAATGTTGTCTATTGAGTTGTTTCTGACTACGAGAAGAGCCATTACGCCTAAAATGAGAAAGCTGTGGAGCTTATAAGTTTTTTTTATCTAGTAGTTTAATAACTGAAATTTCACATGTTAAAATGAATAAGGAAGATGTTTTGATACTCTGCAATCATGTCTCTTAACTACTACCATTTGATGGTTTAACATGACTATGGAACTTATTGGTTATAACACAATTTCCAATCTTCATTATTAGTAAATAATTACATTAAAAGGAAGTATATAATACTAGCATATTATTGGGATTACATTACATTATGTAAAACGCTACATCATTCTATCAAGTATCCCAACCCTCAATTTTTTGAAATCTACACATTTCTGTCCCATCTAATTTAGTTGCATTCAACCTATGAACAATTATTTACATCGGTATTTTTTTTAATCGCGAACAAATGTTTTAGATTCTTACTTCAAGAACATCGCCATCTTTGAGTTTCGTATTAGGTAATACTAAATGTCCATTAATCAAAACTAGCTTCCCTTCCAAACCAGTTCTTTGTGCAGCATCAACAGCACTGCTACCAGCTTTTAACCTCATAATTTCACCATGAGGCCAACATATAATTAACACTTCACCAAGGTTAAGAGGACTCCGAGCATCATCAAACTTTGCATCATGCTTTGCTTGGCTGATACTAACTTCAGACCGCAGTTGCTCTTCCCAGGAAAGCATTGTTCTCAAAAGATGTACCTAAAAGATTAATATAGAATCGGTGAAATATTCATCAACATTTTTTAAATCTACTGTAATACCAGGGATATTAAATGCCAACTTTCAATTTACACGGAAGCAGAGAAACAGTTCATTTATTACATTCTAGCCAGTTATGCAGTGATATTAGACAAACTGATTTCTACTATCACAGTTGCATTTACACTTTAACACTTTCTACAACAATCATTACCGAAAATATAAATAGTGAATGCAACATAATATATATTTTGCTGTCGGAAAGTCAAACTTTGGCCTACTTGGTCTAGAACTCTGGGCAATTTAAGAGAAGAAGGATGAGAATAAAGATATTCTCATGGTTCGTCTATAACCAGTTGCATAGGATGGGGTTACCAATTTTTGGGTGCATAATTTTTTATATTATTTGATTGGCAATTTTATCTAACAATACAATAAACAGATGAGGGAAATGATGAGGAAATTTCATTTGGAGAATGTGCGTAAGAAACATGAGTTGGTTAGCTAAAAACCTTATTATTGATGTTAGCTTCTACAGAAGTTGATGGAATCAAGTCAAATTTTGACTGGGATGCAATACTATCCACTTGCTTGCCCTCAAAAACAGCAGATACAACAGCCCAGTATTCAGATTCTTCTTGCTCGGTAAAATTGATAAGCTGAACGAATGTTGGCAGCAGGCGCCCAAATTGGTCTTGCTGCAAAAGATGCAAAGAATTATATATGAAGTTCTATAGTAAAGCAGTCCAATTATCTACAAACCCCTTTAGGTCTAAGAAAAAGCAAATCACTAACTAAAAAAAGAATTCAACGTCATTTATTTGTATTAATTATATATGTCCAAGTACATCATTTACATGTTTATAATAAAGTTAATTTTGATTCATTGCCGAAACAAAGATTTTAGTTACACTATTAATTTGTGAAGCAAAGATATTCCAAGACGTCACTTATGGGTTTAATAAATATACAAATTATTTCATGACATGCCAAAAAATTATCTATTAGTGAGAAGTAGAGAGCAAGAAAAACTATAAGTGAAATCATTAACGATGAATTTATGGTTAAATAGTCAACTTTAAGCCTTAAAAAATTGACTCAGCAAAAGGCAGTCTAAAATATATTTTGTTTGTAGTAACTACTAAGCAGCACATACATTTCAAACACAACTTCAATTTAATTGGACTAGAATAAGGACAGTGGGTAGGACAAATGTGCATAACTAAACAAGGAAAATAAAATTAGAGCTCTACGGTGTATGCATGCCATTGTCTTTTAATTGCAGTGTAACAAAAATAATGGAAAAAGGGAAGAGTGCAATTTTTAAATGCAGCGCAACAAAAATAATGGAAAAAGGGAAGAGTGCAATTTTTAAATGCTTGACTGCTCAGAAAAACATACCTTGTGATACATACCATCTTGACATAGTGTGTACTTTTCTAGACAAGTACACCAATCCCCATGTCCTGGTTCAAACCACCATTCATCAGACACCTGAAGTAGGTCAGCAGTAAGCAAATTGACAAAGTGACGTAAAATAAAATAAAATAAAAAAGAAATGATGATACAACAGAAGAGACTGGTGTTTGAGAGGACAATGCAGCATGTAGGAAGCTTATTGGTAAACTTAACTACCCAACAATGATCCATTCTAATTACTGCCTTCTCAGTAAGTGTAACTTTTTTCATTATCCACAAACCGTTCATTACAAGCAATCTACATTCAAATTCAATATCAACAATTGTAATTGTTAAGCTAATCAGAAAACCTTTTTGTATAGCTGTGCATAAGCTTCCCATCGCTTATTCTGGAAAAAGGATCTTCTGTCAGCTACAGCTTCAGATGCTGCTAGCCCAAAGCTTACAGCAACTAACAATTCTCTTTCTTCATTTTCTACACTGAAAATGGTAATAAAGAAAAACTACAGTCAATGTGGATAGCTTTATAACATATCATCCATTAGAAATGGAAGTGTTGTATACCCGATGATAACAGCAGCAAGTAGGTGACTTCCTTCTACTCTAAGGACTGGATGTCCAGCCTTCAGTGACTTGTACTCGCTCAATAAAATATCTGAAGAATTTTCCTCTTCTATACCTTTGCTAAAATAGGAGGATGCATCTGTTACAGGTGTATCCATTCCATCTACGGATGAAAAAGGATTTCCATTTTCTTTATAAAGCCAATGTGCAGCAAGTCCATGTTCAGCATACTCATGCATCCTCTGGCACGCAAAACGATCACTGGAAATTAGCAACTAAACTACAAACAAAGCAATCTCGAAGCACGTCAGGAAGAATCTAGCACCTGTGTTCTTATTTGCACTTCTAAAGGTGAGTTGTCAGGACCTTCCACTGCAGTGTGCAAGGACTGCAATTTTAGCAAGTTAAGGCAGAAATAAGCATAATCCTTAAGATTTGAATAATAAAATAATCATTTTAACTTCATTTCATTAAAAACAGAAAGCCTAACCTGATAGCCACTGGGCTTGGGATTAAGGATGTAGTCATCAAATTCACCATCTATCGGTGTCCAAAGCCTATACGGTAAAATATACATAATAGTATGACTCAATATATGGGGCCAACAATAGGGTAAACCTGAAGTAAAAAAGATATACAGATCTAAACTTCCACTATAGACCAAGGACATTATGAGCACACGTGTTTATACCACATAATAGACAGTCCAAAATATTTGAAAAGGAAAAAATGGAAAATATAAAAGAAAATATTTAGAGTTGATTCGTATTTTTTTTTCTCTTTCTTAGAAGGCTTTCTTCTATAGAGTTCTTCCCTTAAAATTAGAAAAAGTCTACCAATACATAACACTGCAAAAAGGTAAATTAAGTTTAAATCTATATCTTCATACAAATTATTGTATTGAATGACTTATTTGCGTACAGGTTATATGATTGATAGATGACTAAAACTTGATCGTCTTTTACCTGTGTACAATGTCAAGAAGATTATAGCAACACTGGACTGCAGGTCCGTGTAAAGTTCCATTTTTGTCTCCTACAACTACTCTTAATGCACGTGCATCATATACTTTTCCGATGCTTGTATCCTTTCGTTTCATCTGTATAACATGCAACCATGACTTCGACCATTATTTTAATTTACACAGTGAAGTTAACAAAAGTTGAGACCAGTTGTGCCAACATCACTCGATGAGGAAAAAGCGTTTACAGCCAGTTGTACAAAATTATTTTCTCAATGTAGTAATAGTAAAATAGACATTAAAACTTATAATCAGATATCCAGCATCATTAGTTTCTTCCTGACACTCGTTGCTTTCTTTAAGCTTTTTCAGTTTCAGATGTGAAAAACAATTCTGAAGTAAATTTGTTAAGCAGTTGCATTAGGATGTGTAGAATCTGTGCCAAAGAGTACTTTGGTTCAATGTTTTTGTCATGTTCACCAACGCAAGATCATATAAACAACGACAAACACCAAAAATCTAGATACTATTGTTTGTGTGTTTTGGGGAAGAGACGAGCCATGGATGGACATTGCCCACCAGTAAATCCCCAATATTTCTTGCTCCATGGTAAAGAAATAATTAGTATGATTAACTAAGTCGGCACTAATTTACAAAATCATGGACTGATTAAATGGGAGCCACGGAACTTAACTTCTCTTTTTTTCTCCAAGATCTTTTACAAAACTTCCCCTATATGCATCAATTTCACTTGCATTACGCTTTATTCAAACTCACTTGGATAATCGTAATTAACTCTTTAAATAATGTCATGGTTCTACATAATTATATAGCCGAGCATAGCTAAAATACAATGGACATAATTCTTAATTCAAATGTTAATAAGTGAATTTGCTGATACCTTACTGTATATACTATACAGGCTTTTTAGTCGGCTTGATAATGTAACTTCCATTCCTGGAACATAACTGCAAATACAGAAGGAAAGTTTTGAGAACTACAAAATTGATTAGACCATAGTATTATAACAGTCAGCACATAAATCATGCTACATAAAACACAGCATTAGGTAAAGCGGGCAAGTGCTTTGGACAATAATCATAATGTAGAAGTTGTAGGGATAATGGGCACAAGAACATACGAAGCCGACATAACCAATTCTCGCTCAAGGGCTTCCTCACAAATTACCAATGATGCCAAAGCTAATCCAGCATCCTGGACAACCTTCGGTATTGTGCATGTTTCCAGATTATTAGCAATACTATAGAGAAAGTTTGCTCGTTTTCTCCGATCCAACAGTACATCAAATGGGACTACAGCTTCCAACAGATCCTGAAAACAATGTGACATAATCCGAATGAATAAAATTGTTCTCACCCTTTCACAGGACTTGCTGAAGCAATGAAGAAAGTAATAGAAATGCAGAAACAGTAGAGAGAGAGAAGAGAGAGAAAGTTAGTTGCAACTGATTTTGTATTTCTCAAAGTTAGTTACAACTCTGTTATGACAGAGTTTATATAGAAGAGTTGTGCAGTCTAAACTTAATAGTTTAGCTGCTTACACTATTTCATCTAAGTCTAACTTCTATATACTATTCTTGTATTACTCTAATATCTTCCCCTCAAGATGAAGATCCTTCTTGTAGCAAGGAGACTTTATCATGGACCTGAAGTTTGGACCTTAGTTGCAGGAACCTGTGAGGAGAGAGTGGTTTTGTGAGCAGGTCTGCATACTGATCAAAGGCTGGAACATGTTGAATCAGTAAAGTTTTACTTACACTTTCTCCCTGAGAAAAAATATATCTAACTCCATATGTTTTGTCTTAGCATGAAGAATAGGGTTATGTGACAGAGCAACTGTACTCAGATTGTCACAACATCACAGGGGTGGTGAAGGGGACTTTAAGATCAATTAAGAGGGATTGAATCCACAAAATTTCTGAGGCTGAGTTAGCAAGAGCTCTGTACTCAGCTTCAGTGTTGGATCTGGCCACTAAAGTTTGCTTTTTTTGACCACCAAGACACCAAATTTGGGCCAAGGAATATGCAGGAACCAGAAATGGATCTCCTGTCATCAGGATCAGATCCCCAATCTGCATCTGAAAATCCTTTAATGGAGACAGGAGCTTGAGTAGAAGTGGGTTGAAGCAGAAGGCCATGATGAAGTGTGCCCTTTAAGTACCTGAGAATTCTTTTCACAGCTGTCCAATGACTTTTCAAAGGATTAGAGAGAAACTGACAAGCCTTGTTTACAGCAAAACTAATCTCACGCCTGGTGAGAGTAGCATATTGTAGGGCCCCAACAACAGACCTATAGAAAGTAGGCTCTGAAAGAACACCTGTCCCATGTTTTGACAGTTTTAGACTAGTGATCATAGGTGTAGGCAACCCTTTGGAATCAGCCATATTTGCCTTTGAGAGCAAGTCCTTGATATACTTTGTTTGAGAGAGAAACAAAGAGCCATTTGCATGGTGTATGACTTCAATTCCTAGAAAATATTCAAGTTTGCCAAGTTGTTTTTGATCAAATTGGGAGTTAAGCTTTTGAATGAGCTGCTGGATGTGAGGTTTGGAGTTGCCAGTGACAATGATGTCATCTACATAAACTAGCATGTAGATAGTGTAGGTGAAAGTAATAAGGGTAAAGAGAGAAGGATCACACCTACTTGAGACAAAACCAAAGGCCTTTAGGGCAAGATGTAACCTGTCAAACCAGGCCCTTGGGGCTTGTTTAAGGCCATAGAGGGCTTTATTGAGCCTGCAGACCATATTAGGTGCAGTAGTTTCAATGCCAGGGGGTTGCTCCATGTACACTTCCTCTTGAAGAATGTCATTTAAGAAGGCATTGTTCACATCCAATTGAGTTAGGGACCACCCTTTTGAAATAGCAATAGTTAACACAACCCTCACTGTGACAGGTTTCACAACTGGAGAAAATGTCTCAGTGAAGTCAAAGCGATTTTGCTGATGGAAACCCTTGGCCACTAAACGAGCTTTATACTTATTGACAGTTCCATCAGGATTCTGCTTGATCCTGAACACCCATTTGCAGCCAATAGCCTGCCTGTTTTGAGGTAGAGTGGTGAGATCCCAAGTGCGATTCTTGAGAAGAGCATTGTATTCTTCTTGCATAGCAGCCATCCACTTAGGGTCATTGAGAGCAACCTTATCAGAGGAAGGTTCAAGCTCAGTGAGAAGCAAGGTAGGATGTTGTCTTGGTTGAACTATACCACTCTTGCCCCTAGTTTTCATGGTATGAGTGTTTTGCGGATGAATTAAGGGAGGTGCAGATGAGCCAGGAGGGTTAGGAGAGGGTTCTGATGTGCTGGGAGACAAAGTTGAGCTAGAAAGTTATGATGAGGGACTTTGAGAGAAATCTGCACTAGTGTGGGCAGGACTGGGAGTAGATGAAGAGGTGGCAGAGGACGGTGAGGCAGCACCAGATGGTGAATTAGAGGAAATGGGGATGGCAGTAAGAGATGTAGGTTTTGGGAGTGGTTGAGATGTTAGGTTAAGAGGAAAAGGAGAGGAAGTAGTGTTAGGAGAGGAAGTGGAGGAGGAAGCCTCAGATGAAGCAAACAAAGAGGTATAGGGAAATCTTGCCTCATTAAAGATAACATCCCTAGAGATATAAATTCTGCCAGTGGGAGCTAAACACTTATATCCCTTATGGTTGGAGGAATATCCCAGAAAAATGCACTCTTGAGAGTGAAAATTGAACTTGTGAGCAAAGTAGGGTCTGAGGTGAGGAAAGCAAGTACAGCCAAAGGCTTTAAGAAACTTATAGTCAGACACAATTTTGTAGAGCATGAAATAGGGAGATTTCATGGCTAACAGAGGGGTAGGCGTTCTATTAATCAGATAGGCTACAGTTATGCAGGCATGATCCCAGAATTTAAGGGGTAGGTTTGCTTGAGCAAGCAAGGCTAACCCTGTTTCAACAACATGCCTGTGCTTCCTCTCAACTGAACCATTTTGATGGTGTGTATGGACAAGCAAGCCTCTGAGAAATGCCTTTGGAGTGAAAGAAGGAGGTGAGTGATTTAAACTCCCCTCCACCATCAGTCTGAATTGCCTTCAGATGAGTGGAAAATTGAACTTCAACAGCTGTGATAAAGTGTGAGTGTGAGCAGCACTTCAGATTTTCATTTGATAGGAAACACCCAAGTATATTTTTTAGAAGCATCAACACAGGTAAGCAAATATTTATATCCACTACTAGAATCCATAAGGGATGGACCCCATACATCAACAAATAGCAAATCAAAAGGACTAGTGTAATCTGTGTGTGAGAGTGTGCTAGGCAATCTGTGTATCTTCCCCAAGCAACAAGGAGTGCAGAAATCCAGATGAGACTTATGAGGCACAGGAGTGTTGCACAACTGCAAGATAGACTTCAATGCCTCATGGTGAGGGTGACCAAGTCTGTTGTGCCACATAGTATAGGCTGAAAAACCAAGAGTTGTGGGCTGCACAGTTGCCTTAGACACATTATTGACAGATGCAGAAGACTTTGTGGTAGACATGGAGACTGGCTGTAGAGATCCAAAGGAATACAAGTCATCCTTATTGAGAAACCCTTGGAGCACAATGCTGGAATCACCCTGTGTTTTAACAAAGCACTTATCAGGATGGAATTCAAAGAAGACATTGTTGTCTTTAGCAAATTGACTCACAGACATCAAGTTTTTGGTAATGTGAGGAACAAGCAAAAGTGTGAGAGATGTGTGTGCTTTGCAGGGTGAATTGAAAGTAGCAGTTCCAATGGAAGTAATAGGCAAACCTTGACCATTACCAAGTAGAACTTGGTCAGTGCCAGGTAGACTCACACTTTCAGACAGATAATCAGCATTATTAGTTACATGATGTGTTGCACCTGAATCAGGATACCAAGGTTGAGTCTGCTGTGTGAAATTGATTGGTGCTAGAAATCCTGTGCCAGTGAAGTGAGCCTGTGGCCGATAAGTAGGATTCTGAGCAAAACCAGGAGGAGGACCTTTGAGAGCTTGAGGAATCCATTGATTCTGCATAGGAGCCTGGGCATCAGGTGCAGAAAACCACTGATTGTAGCCACCTGGTGCAGTAGGCTGGGGTATAGTAGGGTTAAGCCACTGATTCCAAGCTGGTCTTTGTGCATTAGGCATCAAGGCAGAGTGTCTGTGATAGTAAACTCTATTTCTGCCACCATTTCTGCCACCTCTACCACGATTGTGCCTTCCACCACGAAATCCTCCACAATGTTCATCATATGAAGGATTTTCAAAGTACTGCATCACATTGGTGGAGTCAAGAATGACTTGAGGAGCATTGTTAGCTACAACATTAGGTGCAGCTTGAGCAACATTGACCGAAAGAGGCTCAGATAGAGTGGCTTTCTTTGATTTCTCCAGTTTTGCTTCATGAGCAAGAAGCATTGACTCAGCTTCAATGATAGGGCGCAGAATAGCACGATATTGAATAATTGATGCTAGAGCATTGTATTCCTCTGGCAATCCATCAAGAATTGCTTCAAGTTGATCGCGCTGCGAAATTGGATCATCAATCGATTTAAGAATGTCAACAATTCTTTGAATGCGAGAAAGATAAGCAGAGATTGATTTTTCACCTTTGGTTATGGACTTCAGCTCCGAGCGAAGTTGCCTCGATTTCGCATTCGTATGTGCGAAGATGTACTGGTGAATTTTCTCCCAGATTTGATGAGTGAACGCACCGGATCACGTGAGGAAGCACCGCATCAGATAACGTGGTGAGAAGCCACGTGAATAGCAGAGAATCTTGCTGCTCCCAAACGAGGAACTCAGGGTTCTCCTTATCGGCGGCGCGATCAGCATCGGAGAGATATCGCGGTGGAATAACCGGATTCACAAGAAGACGGTGAAAGCGATGAGTACGAGTGATACGTTCGATCTGTTGTTTCCACGATCGGAAGTTGTTTTCATCAAGCTTCAATGTTACATGTTGCGTGAACGTTTTGAACACGTTTTTCAGGTTGAAAATGGACGATACACCGTCGCGCACCACCGTGTTGTGGACGGAGTTGTCTGAGCTATCGCTATCGGAAGCCATTGGAATGGATCAGAAAGCTCTCGATACCATAATAGAAGTGCAAAAACAGTAGAGAGAGAGAGAGAGAAGAGAGAGAACGTTAGTTGCAACTGATTTTGTATTTCTCAAAGTTAGTTACAACTATGTTATGACAGAGTTTATATAGAAGAGCTGTGCAGTTTAAACTTAATAGTTTAGCTGCTTACACTATTTCATCTAAGTCTAACTTCTATATACTATTATTGTATTACTCTAATAGAAAGAATAATCCTCAGTTATCAATCATCAGGGTCTATGACATCAAGAAAAAGGCTTACGAAAGAGTCACTTCAAATAGGAGTTTGCCAGATAACATTAGCATTGTACAGTTTTGTTACTATAAAATACTTGCAAACTAATACATGTAACTATTTATAATTTATAATTTATAAAATCTAAAGTGTGGGATATGTGATTGACACACTACATAAAACTCTCTTCAGTGGCCATACTATTGCTATACTATATTTGGCATAGTACTCAGTATGGTTATCAGTTACATTTCCTTTAAGATCTCATAACTACCTTAGTTCTCACTTGTATTGTCATCAATAATAATGTACGTTAGAATATTTACGTACTGTTAATATTTTCATTTAGCATTTTTATTTAGTTGGTCATTCACGGTGGTCAGCTACATTTCCTTTAAGATCTCTTAACTACCTTAGTTCTCACTTGAACTGTTATTAATAGTAATGTACGTTACAATATTTACATACTGTTAATACTTTCATTTAGCATTTTTATTTAGTTGGTCATTGATGGTGGTCATGCGATGTCAACACTTATCCATTTAGTTTTATGTGCTGAGTTGGTGAGTGTCTAGTGGCACTGGTAAGTTGTTACAATATTCTCCTTATTGTTTGGGCCCATGCCTATATCATGACTAAGGGTCTAATGAAGGAACTAACACATTTCAGAAACTAATTCTTCTTCTCTCTCAACTCAGAATGTTTTCTCTGCAATTAATCACTCATTTGTACCAGAAGTTATTCATCCATTAAATTCTCAGCTATTGAGTATTGGGTTTTACCGGAATTCTCCCTAAAAATCCAAATTCCAGCCTCAATGTAACTCCACCATCGAGAAGAATGGAAGTATATGCACCAAAAGATAAAATACAAACCAGAGTGGCTTATCAAGTCATGGCCTTTTGTATCAGGGAAATCCAGCATGTAATACCGCAAGGCAGAAATTATGAGTATTGTCATCCTTTAGAATTTTCAACAAGAATTGGTGAAGAAACTAAGTTCATGGAAGAGTGGAATGCAACTTAACTTCTCAATAATGGAGATATTCGCTCTAAGTTGAACAGCAATATTCAGCATGGATATTACTGCATGCTGCTGAAACTTGAAAATATCAGATGGGGGAAAACACACACTCTTCTCCCTTCCCCGGGTTTCCCTTTCCCCCTGCCCCATACCTATTTCGCTTGAAAGATTCAGCTTACCATATTCTGAGCTTCACTGGGCACAAACAAAAAGCAAAATACAAAACAAACATACAAGAATATCGCTCTTTGATGTTGCAATAAATACCAGCTTAAACCAAAAAGAAACTACCTATGGAAACCATAAAACTTCATTTAATAAAATCTCATGAGCATGCATACAAACAAGTAGAATAATGAACTCTGCACTTACAAATCCTTACCTTCATGCTATAGACACCCTCATTGAATGTCAAAGATTTATTGTTGAAAGAAGTTGAAATTTTCTCATCCAATGGTATCAAGTTTCCTTTCACATATAATCTTCTCGAGCTTCCTGTTCTAGCCGAAGGGCTCCACATGGAAGCCAGATCTGCTCGCATGTTTTGAAATATTTGAGGCTGAAATAAGGTACAATTACAAATGGTGATAAATTATAATACTGCAAAAATAATGTCACCTGAATAGTACTATTAGATTGCTGTTCCTATGCAGAAGCATGAATGAATTTTTATAGCTTCTGATGATCATTCACTTTTAAGTTAACCACAAGAAGTACTTTTTTGTCTGGGGAGCTATACCTAGTACTCGCTTTTAAATAAAGGAAAGGAGCTAATTACTGTTTTCCCAAATGATGATTAAATGTTTTATGAGAAAAAATAATTTAAGCACTTTCAATTTCAAGCAATATATTCTTTTGGGTACTTCTCATTGATGCATCACATACAAATCCTTTAGCGGGTGGCCAGATGTTCACGGTGATTGGGAACCTTCGTCTGTCAGCTTTATTCCGGGTCTTGTTATAAATAAATCAATATAATTGAGGACTCTTAAATTGAAAGAAACATAAGAATTATTATTAGACCTGTAGAACAGCAAAGCATAGATCTTCAAGTTCAGCTTTTAATGCCCACAGACCCAATCTTGAAGCAAGTGAACACCAAATAATTAATGTCTCCTCTGCGACAGCTTGAGCCTTATGTAATGGCAGAGCATAACTGCAAAGGAAATATTTTCACCCAATGAAACGACCTATACAGCACACTTATAAATTCTAAACTATATATCCAAAAAGTTGTACACACTGTATGGATTAAGGTCATTGATTCGAACTAGCTTCTATTGCAAGGAAGTAATCCTTATGTCATCTTGAAAGAATGACAAGTCTGAGGTGAATGAGAAAAAATGGGCAAAAAAAAAAAGACAGACAATAATTGGGAATAAAGGGAAAAAACATAGAAGCTCGGAACTGGTACATTGTTCTCATGTTGTGAAGACGATCAGCAAGCTTGATGAGCACAGCACGTGGATCATCAATCATTCCCAAAAGCATGACCCGTAAATTACTTGCCTAGTAGATTAAGAATGAAACACATCAGAAAACTTTCTGATACCAATTCCACTTCTTAATATACTTACGTTCTACAAACCTAAAAGGGCACACAGTTTCAATAATATCTTTACCAACCAGCAGACGCATTACAATGGCAGATACAAAAACTTGTCAGATCAAACTTTTTGTAGAAGATTAGCTTCATAAAATAAAACATCGTGAATTCCATGAGTGTTGGTGCAACGATGAATGCCTAGTTTTGTAATCAAAATGGAGTGAGTTTGAATCCGCATTGGGAAAAATAATATTCCTCTTCCCTTGTCTAAAAATATATATTTTTAACAAAAATAAACAGCTTGCGTAAAGTATTGATCCAATCTCAAATTTCTACAAGAAAGATACCAAATATCCATTATATTAAAAGATGAAAATAGGATACACTTTTCACTTGGGATATTGATATTGATCTTCGTATTGTTCAAACCTATGGTGGATAGGTGTAACTATCATTATATTTTGGGTATTGATCATTAACATAACACCAAAATATAGAGCCCAAATAGCTAACTGCTTTCTATATGTCTCAAATGCAGGTTCTGTACCTCTTCTTGGCCGAGGACACCCTGGTTCACATTTACCCTTCGATGTCTGCGTAACAGCTGCAAAAGATGATGTAGTTATTATATAATAGGGTAATAAAAGAAAACAGTGATACTCATCAAAGTTGTTGAGAGTTTTGAATTGCTGGCCTCTAATATATAGATATGATGAAACAGTATAATACACGGCATCACTAAATTTTTAAGGTATTTCACTATAGTTATGTTAGGATGTTTGGGCAATTCTTAAAAGCTGGAGAATCCCCACCATCGGTGGAAAACCCACAATGCATAGCTTGATATCAAATCTTGAATTGAAACATTAAGTCAACCAGTATATAGATTTTTCTTTTTACTTTTATGGTCCTGATTTAATCCCATTATAAACAAGTGTAGAACTTCATCCCTGACATTTGAATCTTCAGTATTCTCCCCTTCAAATGTGGGTTCCGAAACTAGTATTCTCTCCAAATCGCAATGGTCTTCACACATCCCTTTCTTTAAACCAAAATGGAATAATGTGTTTGACATTATGTCTTGACACAAAACCTTTAAGCAATAAGTATGTCGCCATTTTCAATTATACCAAACTTATTTTTACCCAACATGCAACTTCTCACACTTGAATTTCTAACAATACATGCACTAATTATAAACCGGAATTTCTCACAATTATCTTATAGACTCGTTTAATCGTCTTCAAAGTCATGATTTCTATACAAGCGAGCTGTGTTTACACAAGATTTTTAAAGTGATTTAACTCAATTTTGATCCCTAGAGTCATAAGCTCGTGTGAATTTATGTATTAATCGTAGAGTTTGACAACCATGATGTAAAGCCCCACTCCAAGATTAAAAATTATTAGAAAAAATAATATTTTCTTCTTCTATATGCTACCTGATTTATATAACTCAGCTTAGAAACACTGGCTACCAACTCGGCCACATCATCCCCAAACTCTGTCTCAATGTCATGTAGACTTTGGCAAGTGTCATCAACTACGTCATGTAAAATACCAGCCACAATTGTTTCAACAGCCTGCAACGCATTGTCAAGATCTCAAACAAATGAACAATAAAATGAAACATGATTATTTAGTTATACTAGTATAGCCTCACAAAACATAATAATATATAGTATTATATAAGAACAAAATAACTATGCCTTTTCTTAGAAGTAGAGTTGGTTACATGAATCACTTAATGCCATAAATTCTTGTTGTGCATTAGATCCAACTATAGATAATTTTTTTTAAATTGCTCTTAATGATTTGACCAATAGTTTTCCTTGGTCTGCCTCCGTTTCTAGTAATTGGACTATCTTTCATTTGGTAAATTCTCCTCAACAGTGCTTCAATAGGTCTTCTAGACATGCCCAAATCATCTAAAATGGCACTCTACACCTTTTGCTATACATTGTATTTCTAATTCTGCTTTTCTTGTGTAACCACTGCCCGTCAAAGCGTTCTTGTTTTAGTGACTCAAAGCTTACTTTCATGCTGTCTTTTTACTGCCTGAATTCAGTTTCAAACCCTGTTGTAGGTGTTATTGTTAAGTAACAAAAATTTCTTTAATTTAAGTGATAGTTTTCCATCAATCGCATGTGAAACATTCCGCTATTTTTATCCACACACCTATGATTGACATCTCTCTCTACATTGAATTACTCTGTATGATGGACCCAAGATACTTAAAATGTGTGATTTGAGACATTGTTGTTTTCCAAATTTTATCTCTACGTTTGTGTCTCTCTATTTCATATATTTTGTTCTACTTCTACTTAAGCGGAAACCATGAGTTTCTAAGGCTTATTTCCATATCTTGAACTTTTCATTTACTTCTTCTCTCGGTTTCTCCAACTAAGATAATTTGCAAATTTTTGGCACCATCTCTTGGACGTATTCAATAAGTAAGCCTACAACAAAGATATACACATAAAAGCTAAAGGCTAAAGCCGACCCTTAATGTATATCTATAGTTACCTGGAAACTTCAACATTTCCACCTAGCTTTCTCACACTAATATATCAAATATTTGCACCACATACATTGTGTTTGATAACTAGTATATCAAAGTAAAAGTTATGCACATACTTATTAGGTTAAATGACATCGGTATGTAAATTTAATTCATAATGCTATGTTAAGTTGAATATTTCAATAATATGATTCTTCAGAATTGTCGTGACACTATAAGTGATGACCGCATACAGATGTTTGTGTAATTTTAAGGTGTGAGCTCAAGTTTATTAAATGGCGTGTATTCGGAAAATTCATTTGTTGCATCATGGTATGCATTCTGCAGAGTATGTTGGTGGGGAAAAAAGAAGAAAAAAACTTCCAAGTGATTGGAAATTTTGAAAGCAGTGTTGTCATTAAGCGCAAAAGGAAAAACTAATCAGAGCACATACTCGTTTACCACTTGATGGAACCAACGCAGCCAAAATTCTTCCTGTATGAATACAATGTATTAAATAAGGATCTCCTGTCTTCCGCATTTGGCCACCGTGTGCCTTCCTTGCAAAAGCTATAGCCTTCTGTACCTGCCTTCACACATAGCATAAGGTATTTTAATGATGCAACAAGAGTGTGTGCAGGTCATAACGCGAATCAAGATATTAAACCTTTGCATCATTAAATATAGGATAGCCAGCAACATCTACTCCATCCTGCATCATGGTGCCTGCATGTTATTAATTCCCTTCTATTAATATTAGGAATCAGAGTAAAGCTGGAAAGCTTGTAAATGAGTAAAACTCAAAAGGTTTTCATTATGAATAAAATGCAGAAAACAAAGTGATACAATCAAGCTTATCAAACTCAGGGAGTCTAGGTAAACTCGTGCTGCCTCCGTAGAGTCGACTCATAAACTCGTAAAAGTTTGTTTAAATTACAATGGTTAAACACATTATTAACAAGCACTTATCTGCAGCTATGTTGTAATTGTAATTCCAAACTACTGTAACAAACTAATCCTATTCGGAATTAACATTATTAACGAGACCAATGATTAGTAGAACAATCCTATTATGTAATAACAGAAGCAGCAACCTACAATTTTTAACAAGTGCGAACTATAGATTATACACTCAATCAATCTCAGCTTTATTTGATTTAACTTGAGGTTCAGAGGAATCAAATTGTTGAAGGAAAAGCGATCATAAGCTATTCTTCCATTTGGAATCATAAATTGAAAGTGAACTCTCTCGATTCCGAATCAGCGTAGCAAGTAGCAACTTCTCTAGTTCAAGACTATGACAGTGAGTGAACAGTGAACAGATATAGAAGAATGATCAGAAAAAAAACACAAGAAGCAGAACAGAACCTGGTTGTTGATCGGGTTTTGGCCACAGGAAATCAACCTTAGTAGAAAGACAAGCACCGGAAGCAATAGCGACGGCAGTGACGGCGACCTGATTGATAGCGGAATAAACGGCGCCGTGAGCTGAGGCGGCCTTGGCGGCAGCGGCGATAACATTCTCCGACGATTGAATAGCGATTTGGTCAAGCAAACAACGAATTCGTGAACGGTGAGGTTTCAATTTCAAGTGTCGAAATCTGCGAAGAAGTGGTGAAGATTTTAGATGAAGTAACGTTGTAGAGCGTTCGCACGAGAGCAAGTTCGTCCTCATGCTCATTCTCATGCTCATGCTGATGCCGTTAGTAAGAGATGAAATACAGTTATTTTTACCGGGAAAATGTGTGGGAGAGAAAATGAGTGGTTGGAAAATGGAGAAGAGAAAGTGCCCAAAAAGAGAAGAACAAAAAAGAAATCTATGGTATTGAAATCTCATTATTTTGTCGTTTAATGCATTCATTATCACTTGATTTCTAACCGCTCTTCTATTTGATGGATAAAACTCCCTCCACGATGACATCATGAAGAGCTATCATTGGAAGTTGGGAATAGTTTTAGTGACTTTACTCTTTTGATTTTGATGACTTTAGTTTTTTTATTGAATGAAAGAATAAGGAATAGTCAATTAAGAATAATTTTTTATCCAAATTATTGTTTTTTCAATTTATTTTTTTATAATGACCATCATTTGCAGTGATTTTCCAAAGTGATCCAGTTTCAAACAAAAGAAATTTGCAGCACAAAGATATTGCTAGTTGAATTGGCGTCAAACATCGTAAAAGTATGAGATGTCGTCAATCAAATTGGCAATATTATGTGATCTAGTCATACCAATTTGTGACTGTATGTAAAGGTTGAGTGTTACCGTCAGTTGAATTGGCACTTGCGTAATACTAAATGGTAACATTAACATCAATTCAATTGGCAATAATGTATTGAACGTCTTTTTTACAATAAATAGAGTTTTTTTCAAACATTTACTCCATATTTTTTGTTATATTTTTTCTTTTCTTATCTTTACTATCTATGTCGTAATTGTTAAAAGAAATGGATATGTATTTTATTTGAGAATGAAGTCTCTAATGAAAATATTTTTTTGAAATATTCAAAGTTTCGAACGTTTTAAAATGAGTTTGAACTATTGGTTAGATGGAGAGATTAATGAGGAGGAAATTATTAAAAATATTGAGAGAGTTGTCTTTGGTCTATATATAGACCAGATACATTAATTATTCAATTAATCTAAAAAAAATGAATGTCTCTTATAATATAAGACGAAATGAGTATATCTCAAATGGAAATGACAGTGTTATACAGCGTATATGCGTTCGAGTTAAGGATGACACTCATGTTAGAGTTGTAATATATGCACCAAATAATATTCTCTTGATTGTTGTAATATCTTAGATATATTGTTCTGTTAAGTGATTTTATTTTTTGTTTGCATTGTTGATTTAGGCGTGTTTATGTTGGTGTGCTATTGGGACCTGTTTATATTTTAGGGGTGTCTATGTTAAAAAAATTGACTGCGGAAGGAGGGCTAAGCCCAAAACACTCAATCAATACCACTAGAGTCACTAAGTAACACATTGAGCATAAAGTCAGGACAAACAGAAAAATTCAAATGCTTTTCACCATGAAACTTCAAACTACGTTTAGCCAAAATGTCCGCACACTTATCGGCTTTCTTGTGAATGTTCACAACTTTTACCTCCAAGATGGAAGCCATGATAGACTTAAATTTGCAAATTAAATTCATATCCTTCAACTTATTGATCTTTCTCGGGATTATATTAACAACTTCTTGATTGTCTTTTTGGATTTCAATCTGATTATTAAAGCCTTTATTAAGAGCAAGTCTAAAATCTTCAAGAACACCCCAAAGCTCAGAGTTAGGACACTACATTTACCAATACTCTTAGAGAAACCATCCAACCAAACAAACACCTTCATTATTCCTAGCCAAACCTCCATACTCAGCATCAATATTGTTAGCAACTGCGCCATCAATATTAATGCATATCCAATCCCTATCAGGCTTCCTCCAATTTCAATCCATGGTGATTGAACCTTTACTAATAGCCTTCTTCTGCATCACCATACTCTAATTGTAGCATCTAACTGAATCTTTTATATCCTTAACCAAATTATACGAAGCAACAAAATCTGGCACGAAATTCCTTTGATTTCGCAAGTAACAAAGCTGATGGCACGTAGTAGCCTAAAGAGAGTACCAACTATAAATTTTCCCAAGTTTCATCTTCCAATTCAGCTGAAGCCAGTCCAAAAGGTTAGCTTCAAAAAAAGATGTTTGTAAAAAATTGTCAACCATTGAAGCGATACAAATTCCGCACGCCGACAATCTCTCATAACATGAAGAATAATTCTTCTTCTCCGGTGCAATCTTCACACTAAGGATACCTTGGATTGAATTGCCCGAGGTATTTATTGGTTTTGATTCCTTTATGGTGCGACATCCATACAAAGCTTCAAGTTCTCTCAGGCACGTTCAAATTCCAATGTGATGCCACAGATCCATAATATATGCTTCCTTTGTAACTGAATAAGATCAAAAACATTGGATATTGTAAAATATGCAGTGCTAATTCCTCCCAGAGTGTAGAAGTCAGGGTTGCTACTGTCCAGATTCAGAGGCTCGATGGCTCTAATATGCTCGACTAGTTCCTGAAGAAGAATGGTATGTAGCAACCTCCAATCCCAACTTCCGCTACTAGTCATGATAGTGGACACATAAGCATAGTCCAAGTTGACAATTGGTCTGGTTAGATGTTGGCGATTTTGTATCACCAATGTATTTTAGTAGTAATGTGATTTCTAAAGGCCGATGCAATTATGCGTTAAGTTCGGAGACGAGTTAGGGAAGTGCGGAGTGCACGCTCGTCGAGCCAATGCATAATTGAATACGAATAATTGAAACGGGGTTCCAAGGGGCGAAGCCCCTGGCGGGGTGCGGGGCAGTGCCCCGTTGGGGTTCCAAGGGGCGAAGCCCCTGGCGGGGTGCGGGGCAGCGCCCCAACGGACATAACTGTTCCCCAATGGACATAACTGTTTCCCAACTGACATATTCGTTTCGAACAAATGTGTCTCTTCGTTTTCAATTACTGTTCTCCTATATAAGGAGTCGTTCGGCCTCGGTCTCAGATACAGGAAAAACGCATACTTCTCTCTATAATTACAATTCGTTTTCTTTTGTCGGAAACAGAATTTCTTCGAGAATTATCCCCACAAAGATTTCGTGAACCCAGACAAGAATAGGGTCGAAATACTTTGTTCGGAAAGTGTACGAACACGATTCATCGAAGTTATCCAGGATTATCACACCCTAAATTTCTAACATTAGATAATCACAAAGTTTAACACAAGGTTTAATCCAGCTATCCATCCAAACATTAATATTTTTACCATTTCTGAATTCCCACTTAGAAATTTGATCAAGCAAAGGCCATAAGTTCACAATTGAAGGAAAGAAGTGCAATTTCTAAGTGATGACACATAGTGAAAAGGAGTTTGATGAGGGAGGGTATTAAAGAAATTAAATTTTATGTCCTATACTTAATAAAGAGGTGATGAGTGTTGTAAAGGAGAAAATAACAATTTCAGAAGAAGTGTCAGGGGTCCTAAAGGATTTCAAGGAGTTCACCGCAAATGAGATATCAAATAATTTATCTCATATGCGAGATAAATGCATGTAAGTTAAAGTTTTCAATATGGAAGAAGATGTGATGGCATTTCTGCGTAAGAAGAGGTTACCAATTAGTACTTACAACAGAGTTAGATGAAACTCTTTATCAAGAAGAGAACTGGAGATCGATTCTTTAGAAGTGAAGGAGACTGATATATGAGGGTTGGTTGCTGTTGTACCCCAAAATTTGCCCTCCCATATTCCTCAAGAAATTGCCAAGCCAAGCTACAAAATTCCCCAAGGGTTGTACAGTGCAACTGTCTCCTATACAGTCAAAACTAGGGTTTGGGTTCTGATCAAGAAAATGAAGTTTTCAAAGGCTCAATCAAGTCTCATATGCTTACAAACATGGTCAAGCATCCTCATATCAAGTTTCAAGGCATTCAGCTCAAGATTGCACAGTCAAGACCCTAGATTGCACTACAGTTAACTGTAGGGGCAAAATGGTCATTTGACAGTCAAAAGTTCAAATTTTTGGTCAACATATCATTTTGAAGCCACAAACATCATTTGATCAATGCTTGATCATGATTCTCAAAATTTGGCTCAGAAATCATCAAAGATGCAAAAGTTGCTATATTTGGACAGCTGAAAAAGTCAACTGAAATTGACCAGGGCATAACTTTCACATGGATTATCAGAAAAATTCCATCCAAAGCTCATTTTGAAGAGAAAGACATTTCCTACAACTCATCTTCATACTTCAAGTCCAAGAAATGCTCTCACAAAAAGTTATCAATTTCAACATTATAGGTCATTTTCAAAAGTCAACAAAAAGGGACTTTAAGTCAAAGGCCATAACTGGAGATTGGTAAATCAAAATGACATGGGACCAAAGGCATTGGTTAAAGGACTCAAAGACCTTTCCAAAATGTCCAAGAACATGTGAAAAGCTTAAATATTGAGCAAGTTATGCCTTGTAGAAGTTGGGAAATTTTTGTGAAATGGCAAAAGTCAACTATCCTTGAAACTCCAATTTTTGACAAAAGGGCCCACTTTTTTCCACTTGATTCATCCTTGTCATGCCACACACGTGTCCCATGATTAATTTCAAGACCAAATATTGATTTTTTTATTTTATTTAATTTTTGATAATTTAATTCATTTTAAATCTTTGAAAATTCAAATAAAATTCAAAAACCAATGGAATAGTGTCATGTGAATTTGGACAATTTCCATGTATCATGAGCCAACTCAAAAACTCAGGTTAGGGTTAAATTGCACACTAGGTCTAGGTCTTGGCTAAAAAGAAGGAAACTTGGTTAATGGTAAAAACCCTAGGACTTGTTCTTTCATGAGCATGAATCTAGGTCAGTTAGCAAGCCAATTCTCTTCCATCATGAGCACTAAGTCAAACCCTAACCACAACACATCAAAGGCTGCGCCCAAACACCATTGCCAACTTGGAAAAATTCTCCAAAAAAACTCAAAACTGAAATCACTACTAGAGGTGGATTCAAAGTTTGATTCTTTTTCTAATAGCTTCCTCAAACTCTCCTGATCACATTCCAATCACAAACAACAAGCCAAAACGCCTGGAACCGGTATCATGAACTCAAATAGTTTCCAGA